GTTTTGGAGGTGACAGGAAAGACGAAAGGGAATAGTGAGAGAGAAAACAGGCTGGAGATAAAGAAAGACTGTTTGGGTTTGTTTGGAGGGTTTGTTGGGTTTTTTGAAGGGTGAGAATGAAGGTGACTAAGGGGGTTAGGACAGGAGAGACCTAAGTCTGTTTGTAATTATTAGGAGACATAGCAGAGGAGAGAGAGGCAGGCAAGACAGCATGGCGGGAAGAGGAACTGTGCCAAAAGACTATCTACGAGATGAAGTTGTGGAGTTTATTCACCTCTATTAGTTTTATTCCTGTCCTTGGGATTAACAGGCATATAAGACAGTGCACACAATTTAATACAACTGGATGCATTTTGACATATGTATATGCCTGTGACAGACCCACCACTATCAATATAGTGAACGTGCCATGTCCTCAAGCCCTGTTGGAATGCCTTCCTCCTGCCCCTCCCATCTCACAAATCGGCTTCTTGTCACTATGAACTAGTTTGCATTTTCTAGAATTTCATATAAATACAACCATACAAGAAGTGCTCTTTTTTGTCTGGTTTCTTCTGCTCAGCATAATTATTTTGAGGATTCATCGATGTTGTTGATTGTAGTCATTCCTGTTTATTGCAAAGTGGTTGTATGAGTTTCCCGTGGCCGCTGTAACAAATGTTACAATGTTGTAAAAAAACCCGCATGGCTTAAACCACAGAAATTTATCCTCTTACAGTTCTGGAGGCCAGAGTTCTGAAACCCAGGACAGAAAAGGTTGGTTCACTCTAGAGGCTCCGAGTGAGCATCTGTTCCATGCCTCTCTCCCAGCTTCTCCCAGCTACCAGCACCCCTTGGCTGGTGGATGCATCCCTCCATCTATGTCACTGAAATGGACAAGGGAAAAGGAAGCTGCAAAGAGGGACTGATGGATGGAGGTAAAGAGATGAGAGTGTAAGACGAAGACCTGGAATAAACTGGAAGGGGTGAAGGGGAAGTGTGGAGAACTTTCCACCTCAGCCTGTCACTCAACAGTGTTTAGTTTATCCTTTGGCAATTTACTCTAAAGTGGATTTAAAATTTACAAGAAAAAGTACTTTACTTTCCCTGTTCCAGTAACGCTTTGCTCTGAACTGAAGAGGCCCAACCTATTCCAGGGAGTTAGTCTGGGCAGAAGTTACGCCCTGGCTGAGCACGAGATGGCATCCTTTCTGGAGCAGCGGGACCTCCCTGGGAAAGTCTTCTTTATTGCAAACGAAACTGAGCACAACCTACTTAACCTTTCACTCCTTTTCTAGAGCTCAGATGAAGTCTACTGTCTCACTCATCCGCAGTGTTTTGGAGCAAAACTTTTCAAGATGGCTGTGGGTGTCTGCTCTCTCTGCTTCTCACCTCCCGTTTCTCCTCAGCCCCCTTTAGTCAGGCTCTGAACCACCACTCCACCACAATTGCTGTCACCAAGGGCAGCAGCAGCTCTGTCTTACCAAATTCAAGGATCACTCTTCTGTCCTCACGCTCCTCTGCTTCCTGATGCTGCACTTTCCCGTCTCTCCCGACTTTCCTGAGGCCTCCTCCTCAGCTTCCTTGTCTGGCTCCCTCTCCACTTTCCTTCTCTTCTCCAACTGCTTTCTTGTCCTACGTGATCTCCTCAGTGTGACACTATCATCAGAAGTCTGCCTTCCAATGCTGCTTCTGTCTCGCTCTCTTGGATCACTTGCTCTGGGGAGGTTCGCTGCTCTGTCATGAGGACACTCAAGCAGCCCTGTGATGAAGCAGATGTGATAAGGCACTGAGACCTATTGCCAACAGCCAGAGCGGAACTGAGGCCTCTGCCAACAGCCAAGTGAGTGAGCTGTCTTGGAGGTGGACCCCATGACCAGTCGAGCATTGAGATGACTGCAGCCCCTGCTGATGGCTCGACTGCAACCCTCTGACAGATCCTGACCCAGAACCACCCAGTTCAGTTGCTCCTAGGTCCCTGACCCTCAGAAACTGCATAAGCTGAAAGATGTTGGAGGCAAGATGAATCAAACTCAGCACCAATTAAAGTTGTTATGACTCCTGGCTGCTTTGTTCAAGCAGCTGTGGTTGGCAGAATGTTTCTAATAAGTATCTGCTCTTCAAGAGCATTTTGGATAATTGACAAGTAATGGCTCAAATCGTGACCCAATTCCCGTAGTTCAGAGGAATTAATATCTACGTTCAATTCAGTTTTAGATACATGTGCAAATTTTCTACGAAAATGGTGGATGGTGTATGGATTCTATACCAAATGAAAATAATTTTGTCACAAGATATTTATGTGGTTATGTCACAGATTACCCAGGAGCAATATTCAAAGTATATAACCTCTGGTATGGCAAATATAAATTAATACATAAATCAGTACATATATGGAAAATTAAAAGCATATTTGGCTTTGTTTTGTAACTAAACTATGCGTAACATAAAAAGGGATAAAGCTATAATGCAAACCAGTCATGAGTCATTCTGACAGTTTCAAGTCATTTGTGATTTTTATAAACTGTCCATGTGTTCTGGGCTGTTTGGGTTGGCCGTGGGTACCTTCTTGTATGAAGGCCATCAGCTCTGTTGGGGTGGCCATTTCCCACACCTACGACTCTCAGCGCCTTCCCTGGTCCCTCTACTGCTCCCTGCCCTTGTCTCGTTGAGAGCTGGGAGCTAGAGGGCTCCCATGGTGGCTTGCTCCAGGGTGCTTCCCCATGTTCTGGGTGCCTTAACCCTATCCCCAGCTTTGCACACAGGCATTTCCTTACACTCTCCTCACCACACTTTCTGAGTTAAGGCGAAATCATCTTCTTCTTGTATTCAGAGAACCAGCCACAATGAGGTAAATCTTACGAAACTCACTTCAGAATAATAAAAGGGGATTATGAATATATGTTATAAACTGGGATGAGGTTAAGAACTTCTGTTCCAGAGCAGGGATATGAGAGTACATTGTTGGAGAGATGTATAAAAATGGTGTGCCCTCCTCATCCATCCCTTGAGGAGTCTAGAACTGGAGAGAGAGCAGGTAAACTCATACAGGGAACTGGTAACGTCCTGGGAGGACATCTCGGTACATCTTGGTTGGGCTGAGTTGACCCAACACTGCACAGACATAAAGGACACAAACCATGTGTCCCACATCTCTGTCTGCTCCACCCCACCCAGCTGTGAGGATGTTCAAGCTATGAAAATGGGCAGTCAGGACTAGGACCCTGGGCTCAGTCTCATAGATTCTGGATTTCCTGGTGGAGCCCCAATTATGGGCTCAGTATGTGGCTGGAGCTAGAAATGACTCTCTCCCAGGTGCTCCTGCACAGTGACACGACAGGGAGAAATGAATAGATATCTCAGGCTGCAGTTTAGATCGCAGGCCTGAGTGTCAGGAGGGAGGGAACACTCCTCTTCCATCCCTCTGCCTCTACAGGGCATGAGAATGCTGCTGTGTAAGTGGACTAACCGTGGCCAGGCTTTCCACCGAATCTACCCAGGTCAGAGGGTCGATGGGACACAGGAGCTCCAAGGGGCAGAAAGGGCAGCACAGACCAGGGATGGCAACAGAGGACGGGGGATTTTCCGTCAGTCTCAGGGCTATGTGACCCTTTGAATGGAGTCAGCCCCTGGTTGTTGGATTTAACATGGGAAGGAGACTCCAGGGAGGAGAATGTTCTTGCTGCTCTGAGATGGATGCTTGAGTGACTTAAAATGAATATTTAAAGGATGTGATTTTATCCTATTGTATATCAGGCTGGTAAGCAGGTGTATGGCTACACTTCAGTGGCTTCCTATTTTCCTTAGGACAGAATCCACAACCCTTGCCATGGTCTTCAAAGTCCTGAGCACTCTGGGTTCTGTTCTCGGACCTCACCTCCTTGGTGCTCCTCCCGGCCTTATGGCTTAATGCTCCACTAAGACCCAGTGACTCCTCTTTCCTCAAACACACCATGTTTAGTCTCTCTCAAGGCCATCAACCCTGCTGACCTCCTGCCTGGATTCCATCCCTGCTGCCCGATCAAGGTTCCGCCCACTTCCCTACCTGCCACTTGTCTCTCCTTCAGGGCTCACGGCAGCCCTAACTCCCCTCCTTGAGAAACCATGACTGACCCACAGATTCCAGCAAAGGCATCCTGGTTAGGGTTATGCCTAGCACTATCTCATCCCCTTGCATGGTGCTGTAGATTATCTTGCGTCTCCTAAGAAGAAGATATGCTGAAGTCCTGACCCTGGGTACTGATGACTGTGACTTTATTTGCAAATAGGGTCTTTGCAGATGTCATCAAGGTAAGATGAGGTCATACTGTACCAGGATGGGCCCAAACCCAATTACCGGTATCTTTATAAGAAGAAGGAACTTTGGGTAGAGACACACACACGGGAAGCACACCATGTGACAACGGAGGTAGAGATTGGACTTATGCATCTACAAGCCAAGAAATGCCAAGGCTTGCCAGCAAGGATGAGAAACCAGGAAGAGGTAAGGATGAATCCTTCCCTGAGGCTTCAGAGAGAGCGTGGCCCTGCTCAATCTTGAGTTTGCACGAAGAGTCCCCAGAACAGCGAGAAAATCAATTTCCAGTGTTTTAAGCCACTAAATTTGTGGTCATTTGTTACAGCAACCCTCGGAAATTGATGGACACGGCACGCATGATTTTGGATTAGAATGACATATTTTTTTCTTTCTCTCACTAGAGTGAACCCCATGAGGACAGAGACTCTATCTGTTTTGCTTGTCATCATTTATCCGCTCCCTGGACACTGTATATCACACATTAGATGTAAAGAAAGATTAGTTCCATAAGTGAACAGGAAAAAAAGTTCATTACCTGGTTTTGTAAAAATAAAAAGGGAGAAAAAAGTTTTTAGGTTGTAGGTCAGAAAGACAGCAAGTACAAAAGGAAAAGACAATTTTTGTGTAACTGAGAATATAGGTGAAAATTTCTGCTTCACTCTTTTTGACCAGGTATTTCATGACTGTTATATGACAATTTTTGATTAGATCAAAGAGTCCATGAAACTTTTTCTCGTTCTATTTATTTTTAAGTCCAGGAGACATCCTAGGAGGAAATAATTTCATGTTTGATCAAAACAAATAGATTGCTTTGCAACCAAATTTGCATAGTGGATTTCTGTTAAATTAGCACTTAAACAATGGATTAGTTTCTTAGTGTCACAATACTCAGGGTCTACATGTAAGACAAGCACTTCACAGTTGGAAAACTTCAGAAGATCGGTCCTGCCTGTGCTGGGGGCCAGGCCTGCTTTATCAAAACTTGAAAATCTTCCTTGACTTTTCTACAGATTTCTCATCCCCTGGAGGCTTCCTCGCCCCACCAGGCTGCAGAAACTTCTTCACGGTGGGCAGGTTGCTGATTCTGGCTTTCAGGGCCTGCAAGGCACAAGAGCAGAGCCTCAGAGTGGAGCCAAAGACCAAGCCCGTCATTAGCACAAGCCAGGGAATCTGAGACCCTCCTAGACGAGGACCACCTGAGTCTCCTCCATCAACATCAGCCTGAGGCTGGGAACGAACACCCGGTGAGACATGAGGATAACAGCAAGAAAATCCAGCTCAATAGCATTTTCTTCCCTATGTTCTTCCCTACACACTCATCCTGTGGATTCATGGCTTTTGGGCAACACAAGAAAGAGTAATGTGTCTGTCCGATATCAGCACAGATAAAGTCTCCAGTCAGGAAAAGCAAAGATTTAGGAAAAGTGGGCAGGACCTGAAGACAGGAAATATAAAAGGTAAACCATGAGGCTGGTAAAACCAATTTGCCCACCGAGAGAAAGAGACGAGGAGAGAGGGGAGACTGTGCGGAGAGAAACACAATGTGTGGAAGGAGGAGCAGGAGCCGAGGGGAGGACAGCTGCTCACAGACTCGGGTGTGGAAGGAGAAGGACACTCCTGGGTTGAGGGAATCACAGAGAAAAGAGGACAGAATCCGGAATGGAACGGAGGCCTGGGAGAGAGGTGCTGATGCTGGGTCCCCCTCATTGTAAAAGACAAATTATTCTTTTGGTGGCAGAATCCACTCAGATTTCTTCAGCCAAAGGAGATTTTGTTCATGCCTCACACCAGGGTCTAGAAGCTAAGTTTAGAGACCAGAGGGCAGGAAAGGCCTGCACAATAGTGGGGACCCTAGAGGCCAAATATTACATTCCAAGATGGGAGGTGTGGGCCTTCCGTCCTGAGGGCTGTGAAAGAGATCACCTTCAGCAGAGGGAAGTTGGTCAGAAGGCTGGGGTCAAGCTCTTCAACAAGGTAGAGAAGTTCCACCAGGTGGATGTCAGCCCTGCTCAGCCTGTTTCCAACCAGATAGTCTTCTCCGTGGCTCTTTAACACCTGGCGAATTGGAGGAATCGGATCATGAACACAGGCACAGGCAGGCTGGGCCCCCTGCTCCTCCCAGCTCTCTCCAGCCCGCTCTCCCTCCTCTGCTGCCCACTGGGCGGATGTGGAGCTCCAGACCTTCTCCACCGGCCCTGAATCCCTGACACAGAGGGAGGAGTGGGCTCTGCTGTTCTTCCCTCACTCCTCAGTGAAGCCTAGGATACCATTTCCTTTTCTCCTTCCCACATCACTGGGGCTCCCTACCAGCATCTTCCACTGGGTTAAGGGCTTAGCACCTCTGTGCCTTGATTCTTTCAGTCTCACACCCTACACTGTGCAGCCCTGAAACATCAGGACATGGCTCTTCATCTGTATCTCTCAGTCTCTCTCTCTCTCTCCGTTTTTCTTTCTCCTCTCGTCCTTGGGCAAACACTCCACCTTCATGACATCCTTCCTCAGTCCTGAGCAGACTATTTCAGAGTCTACATTTCTCCTCTGGTCTGCTCTCCTCATTTCCTGGTCTGTCTCTCTGGGACCTGAAATAACCCTGGGTCACCTTGAACTCACCATCCCCTTACAACACTGGCTCTGACTCCTACCCGACCTGTGTCTGTCAACAACATTGGTGGAATATGTTCTAATTTGCCTGCTGAAGAGTCTAGCCGTGACTGCACTGACGTCTGCACCTGCTTTAAAATGCAGCAAAAAATAATGTACTGAATTGGAGGAGAGGAGGATGGGGACACATATGATTAAGCAAACATCATTAAAAAAGGCTAATTTTTTCAATATAGGTGATGGCTATATATGAGTTCATTGTACTGTATTTCAACTGTTATGTATCTTTGAATAATTCATAATAAAATATTGAAGAAAAAATGTGATATTTATGAAAAATATGCAGAGATACGGAAATCACAGACAAAAAAGGGAAAAAACACACATGGCACCACCAACTAAAGATCATAAGAATTTGGCAAAGACCCTTCCAGAATATGTATGCTCATAGAAGTATGGATAAAAACAAATAATATAATGAAGCATGAAATGCCATATTGTAATGTGTATCTTTCAGTTATGTCATCACAGAGCTCTTTGATCTCAGAGGACAGATGTCCTCAAACTGCAGTGACTGAGGAGCTTGTCACCTGTGAATGTGCTGAACTCTCAGCACCACAAGGGCCAGGAGAGTGGACTTCATGGTTAGTGCTACACTGTTCCCGGCGTGAACAGGAGCTGACACACTAGCACTGAGTGCACACTTGTTGAATGAATGAAAGAATGATTTCATGCTCCATAATGATGGGGATGGCGAGATCAATCCTTTTATTTACATGTAAGGCTCCTGTATCTCTTACAATCAAGTTTTGGTTCCTGATTTCTATTTAGCATGATTTCAGGTAGTTGTGGTCTTGAAATATCCTCCTTGACCTTCAAAGACAAACATCCACTAGCACAGGTACTATGCTAATGATGGAACTTTGCATGACTTTTCTCAAAAATCTACTAGCTGTGCTCCCAAATTTGTAGATTCTTTTCCCTTAACATCCTTTCATCTCTCTCTTCTTCTTTATCCATGTCCCCCATCTCTGTTTCAATACATCTCGTTCATTCCCTGAAATTCCACCACATTCTCCTGATGGGCAGCTGGTCTCATGTCTCCCTACACGTGATACCAGAATATTTTCTTCTTGCTGAGGTAGGTTATCCCTGAGTTAACGTCCATGCCAATATTCCTCTGTTTTTTAGTATGTGGGCCACCAGCACAGCATGGCGCTAACAGAGTGGTGTAGGTCCACACCTGAGAACCCAACCCAGGCCCCTGTGGAGTGCCCTGAACTTAAATGCTAGGCCATGGGAGCTGGCCACAGAATATGTTCTGATGTATTGCTTTCATCGTGTTCCTCTTGGAGTTAAGCCCCTCTATGGTGTTCTGCAAGATCTGTTCCAATCTCTAGCATGGCTCTCAGAACCTTGCACAGCCCAAGATCTATGACCCCAAATTTCCGTTGAAGAGAGAATCCTAGATTGAGTCCTAGTAAATTGAAATTTTGCTAGCAATTATAACTTGGCTAGAACTGCTACAATTCTTCCTCACAGTGGATTGTTATAAAATGCCTTGAGAGTCAGGATGCTCCATTAACTAGGATTCAGGAAGGCTGACTGGGAGTGAAGGTCCTTGTCCCAGGAATGCCCAGTTCTCTTCTTCTTTCTCCTCTAATCTCAGTGCCCCCAAGATGCTGAACAGCCAACTCACTTTTTCAAACGCAGGCAAATAACGATTTGTTGTTCTGTCTTTGATCAGCATAATCTTAGCATCTTTTTCAGCAGGTGGGGTTATGGGTAAAAGCAGGATCATTTCATTCAAATCTGCCACACCTTCTATGTACATATCAATCCTGAAAGACAAAAATGAACAAAGTGTCAAATCTCTTCTACTTTTGGTTTAATAGTTTAAAAATATAAAGGAATGGGTCATCAGGAGGTGGCAGAGGAATCCACCTGCATTTTCGTAGGCCAGTCATCCACCCATGATTTTTTCTTAACTTTCACCTTTCATTTTAGAACAACCTTTCAAGGTAGATTATGTCTAAAATTTTTGGTATACGCAAGACAAAACATAAGGACAGAGCATCGGTGACCTGCCCCGAGTCACAGGCATGAGAGACATTGGTGGAATCACTGCAAGTGACCACTGAGACCCTAGCTAGGGTTTGCCAGCTCTGCTCGGTTTTTTGTGTGCACAAACTCAGTGTGATTCACACGGCCAAAGACCTGCCACCTAAGTCACCTCCACAGGGGGTCCCTGGCATTGCTGTCTCAGCCACGTCCCTCTGCTTCTTATCCTGTTACACCACCCAGGCCCACGCAATGCCCAATGTTAGCAGCTCCTCCAATGATTTCCATAGAACATGGTTCACAGCCCTCTCCAGGTGCTGCTGCCCAATGCTGACCATGTTTGCATTTCTCAAGAACAAACCTAGAGTATCCCCTGAAATGGTGCAATTCTTCATTCACTTCCCACCAGAGCACAAGCCAGGTGATTTGCTTTGTGTGTTCCAAACGAAGCTTCCTGCGAGAGGTTTTTAAAAATAAAAGCTTTGTTCACATATAATTCACCTACCATAATGTCATCCTTTTCAAGTGCACAATTTTGTGATTTTTAGTAAAGCCGAAGAATTCTGTACCACCACCACACTCTAATTCCAGACTATTTTTATCTCTCCCGAGGAGCTGCTGTGTGATTTCGCAGGCATTCAAAACTCTTCCCTCCATCTAGCCCTAGGCAACCACTCAACCACTTTCTGTTTCTGTCGACGTGAATGTTCTGGATGTTTCATGCAAAGGAAATCATGGAATATGTGCTGTTTGTCTCTGGTTCCTTTTATGTGACAGAATGTTGTCAAGATCCATCCATGTTGTAGCCTGCATCAGGACGTCATTTCCTTTCATGGAAAAATATTACTCCATTGCGTGGATAGACCACACTTTGTTCATCCGTTCATCACTTAATGGACAATGGTCTGTTTCCACTTTTGAAGATTATGAACAACACGATGATGAACATTTTCTACAGGTCTTAGTGTGTATGGCTTTTCGATTCTCTGGGGTACATACCAAGTAGTGGAATTGCTGCGTCATATGCTAACACTATGTTTAACTTTTGAGTAACTGCTACAGTTCCTTACACGGTTTTAATTTTAATCATGTGTTCCCATCACAACAAGGAAGAGACTGCCCAGATAAGTTTGTATTGAATAAATCTGCTGCTTCATCCCTGTATCAAAATGCTCAATGTAACCCTGGCATCTTGGTTTCAACGTTTCTAATCCTTGTCAAATGGCCCATTCATATAACTGGGTCATAATTTAGGGTCCTGGTCATCATTCTGGTAAATTCTAGGTTTGAGAATAGGCTCCTTCACTCCCCAGCCTTATCGTCTAAACCCTCAGACATTTTGTCCCTTCTCTCTAGCTGTGGGCTGGTGTCCAGCTCCTAAAGTCCTGAGCACCTGGAGTCATGACTCCACCATCCTCCTGCCTTCTAAGAATTCATCAGGGTTTGCAGACCTCTGTCACTGTGCCCTCTCCATGGGCTGCATCCTCTTCTATCATCCCACTGGCTTGAGTCCACTACAGGTTTCCTGTCCCTCATCCTCCGAGGTCTCTGCTGTCCTGCACCTCAGTCTACACCACCATAGCCACACTGCTGGTGGTCATGATCCCCCAACACGGTCTGGGTCCCCCAGGGAAGGACCTAAATTGTTTCTATTAATTCTTGACAAAACAGCAGGAAAAATACCATACAGGGCTCTCTCCTTGATGTCTTTCCCATAGAGGTTGTGTTTGGCGGCAACATAGTTGAGAATGGCTCTGCTCTGCACCAGCTTCATCCCATCAATTTCGACCATTGGCACTTGCTGGAACATCAAACTCCCATCTTTCAAAAGAAGAACAGGAAAAGTAGAGTGAAATGCTTTATGGATCTCATTCTTTGAAGATGAAAAGCTGTTTGTTGAAAGACTAGCGATGTAAAATGGAACTGAAATTACTGGGTAACACTTTAACAGAAGAGCAGTTGTTGTGAGCTTTCTACAATCCATCTTTTGCCTATCAAGCTTCCATTCACTTTTGAACCTGTTATTTCATTTCTGGTTTTATTCCCCATCCAGATACTTGGTAGGTCCCTGTATTTCTTGTGCTCGATTTCTCGTCATGGATATTTGAAGAAGAAGTTGGGAGAAGCTACAACAGGACCACCAGCCATTTGTCATTTCAGGTGGGATGTTCCGAGAACAAGTCTATGGTGCAGCTGGCATTAAGGCCAGTAGTAAGTGAGATTTCTACGGAGGGTGATTTGTTCCACCATTGGATAGTGTTGGTGGGGGCCCCTGTTTTCCCCACCCAGTCCTGCTGGCCTCCCTCTTTCTCTCCACCTCACTCACTTACCTGGCATTCCGACTATCTCAGGACCATCTTGTGATCTGAGTCTATAATACGGTTAGGACTTCACTTTTTCCAACCCGTCAGGGAGAGAATTCTAGGCAACTGCTGGGCCTGTTTCTCCTCTTTCCCTCTATTGCATGTGTTTGCTGTCCTTTCTGGGAGGCTGTGGGATCCTGAGCTGATACAGCTCAGTCGTGGTGCAGAAAAGCAGGAAAAAGCAAAGAGAGGGATCCACGGGACACCGAGGATGGTCCTGTAGCAAATACTCAGAGAGTTTCAGCCCTTCCTGGTCCTGAGGGACTTACCAAAGCTGCTCAGGGAGCCCCACCCCATACATTTGAAGCACTTCTCTCCCTCTCTTTGGCCCCCAACTCCCAGCATACACACACATAGGCATTGCCTGCGGTTAAATCTCAACACATGACTTCGACTAGATCCTCTCATCAGAGGAATTTAGACACTTGGTCTTACCATTTTTTAGCTTTTCAAAGTCTTCTGGAGTGTCTATAAATGTCTCTTCAAACTGGAAAGCAGAAACAGTAAGTGAGCTCCTGTTCTTTCATTCCACAGCATTATAAAAGTTTTAAACTTGAATGTCCGGCACATAATAAGGAGAAGGAAGATTTCTGAGCTTGTCAGAGTACATAGGGGAGTGTGATCAGGGTGACTGGAAATTTAGGTTAGAGCCACCAAGGAAAGAGCATGGGTGGCAGCAGGTAACGACTCATTCTTGAGGTTTCAATTCACCTCCACTTTGTTTCCACCTCTGTGGACGATCATGGTCATTGGGGGGATGTCACGGAGGGAAGGGACTGGGAAGTTCACCTAGTTACGGGGTTTTAATATCTCAGGAAAGCCTGCCTCTCCAGGTGAGATCACGACAGGACCTTGTGTGTCCTCCAGTATAGGGTAACCATGGGGCCATGACCATCCCAGAAGCTGTCACCAGTGACTTCTGCTGTCACTGACATCACTCCATCCCACGAGGCCCCGCTTAGTATGAAATGAGTCCTGGTTGCTGCACAGTTTTAACTCTAAGATTCAGAATTTCCTCTCCTGGAAAATTGGGACACCCTAGGTTAGATTCCCAACTTAAGAAAGGAAAAAGAGTTCCCAAACTAGTTTAGAAAAATTGATTTTTAATCAAGAAACCTTGGTTTCTGATATGACTGCCTGGATTTGAGCATCATTTCTTACACGTGCTACCTCTTGACGTTGGACATGTCACCAAATCTCCTCGTGTCTCAGTATCCTCATCTATATATGGGTATAGTTATGGCACCTACGTTATAGGTTGGTGGGAAGATCAAATCAGCAAGGTATGCAAAGGCCTTTAAACAGCACCATGTATACATGAGGTGCTCAATAAACAGAAGTTGTCAGGATTTTCCAAGATGGTTGCTTTCATCATGTTATCCCTTTTTTTTTTTTAAATTTAAAGCCACCTCACATTTGTGAACCTATCCTCCGTCCTTGACCTACACTCAGGACGTAGACCTTGGTGTAGATTCTCCTTCTCCTGAGGCAAGTCTCTCTGGTTGAAGGGCTGCTGGCAGCAAGGCCGTCATCTGACCAGAGGCTCTGAGTGCTTGTGGGGTTTCAATACAAATATGAAAATCAGTGAGTATATGATCATGCAGTTTACTTAATCGGCAGAATCGACCAAACCAAAGGTCAAAAGAGACCAATGTCAAGAAAACCAATCTCAGCATTGATGCGATTTGGTTCCAGTCTTGGCTCTGCCTCACGGTAGCTGTGTGATCGGGGCACAGGCACTTAGCATCTCCAGGCCTCAGTTTCCTCCTCTATCAAATGCAGGGAGAACATTTTCTTATGTGGAATATGTTGTGTTAAAATACAGATTACAGGACCCGGGCCACACACACCAAGTATAACTAGTAGTGCTGTTTGCAGTGGCTGCTGTGGTTTAAAGGGTTCTTGATGGTGAAAAGCTTGGGAATCTGGGGAATTCTAACTTGTCCAGTGGAAGCATTTATTGTGGATCCACATGGCTCCACAGAGTCAGACTATAGAGATAGTGAGGTGGGGGAGCAGCAACTCCTAAAGCACCCAGTTCCAGACAAACATAAGGGATGGTGGTTGCTCATCTAGGGAGGGGGGCCAAGGTGGGATTGGTTGGCTGGTGAGATGACGTTTGTGAGGCTAATGGAGACGGATGGGATGGTGAGGACCAGCCTTTGGGCACAGGGAACCTAGAAGCTGTGACTGAGAGCCTCTGGTAAGTCCTGCCGCACCCCTCTTGTCAGTCAAGCTGATGGAGAAGAGGAAGCCTGGGATGCGCTCAGCATCTCCTCTACTTCCCCCTCCTGTGCTGAAGTCATCCTGCCAGGGGCTCTGAACACATCCCTGAACCCCACAGCTGACCCTGGAGGCAGCACAGTAGAGGTTCCTGTCACAGGATGCCACCTCACCTGGATCCCTCCTCTTCTGCTCCCACATGAGGTACAAGATCTCCTGAGCTCGTCAGTGACTCCTCCCCAGGAAAACCCTCCCAGACTTGCTGGTCTGTCTGATCTGGACTAAGAAATGTTTTTCACAGTGACACCTCCAGAGGGCAGCACTCAACAGAGTCCAGGAAGACCTACCAGCTTTCCACTGGGACTGTGGCATTTTGGCACTGTAAATGCTTGGGTGTCCTCCTAGATGCTCCCCCCTCCTTTTAATCACCTCCTTACTTGTGTGCAACCTCAATAGAATGTAAGCTGCCTGAGGACAGGGCCCTTGTTCATCTGTGTCTCTGCAGCTGGTGCTTGAAGGTGCTGAACAAAATCACTGCTGAGTGTGTGTATTACATCTTTCACAGGTGGTTACTTACAATTCACTCCTCCCATATTTCTGGCTCTATCTTAGCTTTTATTATATTTTACTTAATTTTTCTGATTTTATTGTGGAAATTTCTAGCATGTATAAAGATAAACAGGAAAGTATAATGCTGCTCCGTGTACCCTTCATCCAGTACCATAATAACCAACTCAAGCCAGACTCCTGTCATCTGTATGCCCACGACTCTCCCTCTCTTGTCGTAATTTGAAAAATAGAAATATCATATATTTCATTTTTAAATATTTCAATGTACATCTTTAAAACAGAAGAACTACTTAAACAACAAGCACAGTACATTATCACACCTAAAGCATCAACAATAATTCTTTAATATTATCTACTATTTGTTCATGTTCATGTTTCTAATTATTGAATAAATGTCATAAATGATATTTTACACTTTGTTTTTATCCAAATCCAAGTAAATTCCACACATTGTGGTGAGCTTCTTAAATTTACTTTAATTGTTTATGCTGTTTGATGACAAGAAATTGTAATTTTATGTTAGGTCAAATCTGTTCATCTCTTAATCGCTGTATTTTTTTTCAATGCACAACTCTTGACAGATGGTTTAGAGAGAATAGTCTCCTAGCTCATGGGAGCAAGGACTTCGATAGTCACTTCTAGATCCAACTGAAGACGACCAAACTCAGAACTGACCTCGACTCCCGCAGCAGCCAGGAGCCACCGGATAGGCTCCATCCGGCCTCGTCCATTGAAGTAGTGAAGCATGGGCTTCACTGCCATGATGCAGTCTCCTGGGCTCTCTCCACCTGAATCAATGAAGGAATGAATGAATGAAACAACAGAAACAAAACTGCACTTTAAGAGCCATGGTTAGCAGCACCAACAATGCTGAGGAAGGGTCTGCCTCCTTCCTGGCAGACTTGGAGAGTCCCTGGAATGCCTTCCTCGGCCCAACTTCTCACCCTCAGGAGCCGAGCCCAAGAAACTGCATCAAACCATTCTCCAGTCTCCACTGGGTAAAATCTGGTGGGCTTAGCAGCCTAATAGGTGAGAGTCTGTGGTAAGGATGTGTGCTTGGTTTTAGGGGGAGGGAGAAGGATTAGAGAACCACTATTCATTGAATATCTCCTCTTAACAATCCTGATGGAATGCTAACTCCTTTGCATATATTTTATCTTTTTTTTTTCCTGAGGAAGATTTACCCTGAGCTTACATCAGTTGCCAATCTTCCTCTTTTTTTTGGCTTGATGAAGATTACCCCTGTGCTAACATCTGTGCCAATCTTCCTCTGTTTTGTATGTGGGTGGCCACCACAGCATGGCCAAGGAGTAGTGCAGGTCTGCACTCAAGATGCGAACCTGAGAACCCAGAATACTAATGCAGAGCGTGCCGAACTTAACTATTATGCCACGGGGCCAGATCCTGGATACATCACATCTTTAATCTCCTAACAACCCCATGAAATAGTTGTTATTTTATCCATTTTATAGTTAACGACACCACAGCTTAGACATTAAATGACACATCCACAGTCACACTTCAGCTAGTGATGGATGTGGAAATCCAGCCCAGGAGTAAAGGGAGGGTAGGGTGGGAACCAACACAGATGCAGGCCCTGGGAGCCTGTGAGGGCCTTGAACCATAGTGCTTCCCTGACAGCGAGGAGGCAGAGGGAGCAGTGTTAAGGCTTCATTTGTTCCAGAGCTGGAATTGGGGCTCAGACTCACTGAACTGTGGCTCAAAAGATCCTAATCCTTTGCACAGATGCAGGATGCTGATTTCTTGCTTTTCATGGAATTCTACTTTCTACCTCTACTTGGTGCATTTTATAATATATAGAAAGGGAAGTTACTGCATTAACTTTTCAGTATATGGAGTGGACATTTGTTCATTGTCTGTCATACAGTGGATGCTCACAAATTTGCCTTCATTTAATCCTACAAAAATCTCCTGAGGTGGAATCTCTTATTACTCTCACTTCACAGCTGGGGAGATGGAGGTTTCTAGAGTAACTTGCCCAATGTAGGTGGTGGTCCTGGGATTCAAACCCACTTCTACGTGAAACCAAAGTCTAGGACTCATTTTCTGTATTGGGATTTTTCAAAATACACATGATCATCCTTCAGTGGATTGTGAAATCCACCAACTTTTAAAACAAAATACAAGACAGTAGACACTATCCAAGTGCACCATATGCAGACAAGGGGAGCATCATTTCAGGAGTTTTACATTCAGTCATAAGTGTGTTGCTTGCGTGGATGTGTGCACACTCATTTGGCCAACAGATGGTAAGAGAGACACAGGTTGTGTCCAGTCAGCAAACTCTGAAAGCCCTTGTTTCATCCTAGGCTGCGTGGGTAGTCGACACAGCAGGGGACCAGAGACTGACACCCAGCGGCTCCAACAGCGGACATGGCTGGTTCTCTCATGGGAGTGAATGCAAGTGAAACTGGCAAGCAGTTAGCCATTGATGATGAAGTAGTTAGGAACAAAAGGTTTTTTCCTTGTTGCAGTTACTGACTCTAGCTTTCAGCTGTTTAACCCACCCATTGTTAACTACGCTGCTTAGGCCTTATGCTATCTGACTCCCACTAGGCTCCTATAGATACCATCTTCCTGGAGCCTGGGTCACCATGGTGATTGCTATTTGAGCTATTTTTCAGAAATTAGAACTCTTTTTCCACTCCAGGCTAGCTGATACCACCAACATATCAACTGGGCCTGCACAGATGTCTGATAGGTGACATTTTGAGGTCAAGAAGCTAAAAACTCCACCCGCAGATCATGCTCACACCGCCATTTTGCGAGCATGGGTCCTGTGAAGAGGCGTGGAGTCTGACTGCGCCTGCACAGATCATCAATTGCCTCACCTCTCCTCCCCTCCAATCACCTCTCTCCACACTTCAGACCACCTTGCCCCCATCCCATAAACATCCCTGAGTCCCTATTTTTGGGGAAGCAGATTTGAGGCTCATGTTTTCGCTTCCTACATGGCTGCCTTGTCATTAAACTCTCATCTGCTGCAAATTGGTCATCTCAGTGTTGGGCTTTCCACGTGGCACCAACAATGAACCTGGTGCGGCAACAGAAACACGCAGGACTCGTTCCAAGCAGCAGTCCCAAAGCCAGGACTTAGGGAGGAACACCTGCATTTTCTCTGCGAATCTCACGCTCTGTTTAGAAAACATTAAAATTCTTCTTGCAAAATTGTATTGTTGTGGAGTTTGGGACAAAAATATACTTCTCTTTACTCAGTGGATATTTCTCTGAGTAAGTGCGTATGACTTGAATTTTAGATAACGCAATGTTTTCAATATCCACATCTTTAATGAAGGACTCAAAAGCCTAACCTTTAGAAGTAAAAAATCCTTTGGAAACATACTTAATCAACTCATCTGTCTCGCAATTGGAGATAGTGGAGTTTGTATTTTCCTATCAAGGGAAATGGAGGTGCTATGAGGAGCAGAATGAACAGGAGACTAAAGCTGGCACTATGGTGGGAGGTGTGTTTGCTGTGGCCTAAAGGTCACAGAGCCAAGTGACTCACACCTCACACTCAGCTCCCTTCCCTGTGACTGAGGATCAAGTTAGAAGGGAAAGGAATCTTATTTTAGATAATATTTTACCATAATTCTTTTCCTTAAGGCACCTTGTTCACCTCCCACTAAGAGATTTCCAAAGGCCTGGTCAAGACTGGGGCAAAGTTCATCATATCCTAAAGCTTTGCGGGTTAACAGAAAATGAGAACTAGAGGGGCCCTAGAGAGATGTTGACCTGGGAATGTGCACAAACAGCCAACTAGATGCACAACGAAGAATATACAACTATAGGGGGGCTTTGGGGGAAAAAGAAAAATAAAATCTTAAAAAAAAAAAAAAAAATGAGAACTAGAGAGCTTGATGAATTGCAAAAGGTCACACACATATGTTCCTGATTGACAATCGATGTCCAGCAAGTTGTCTGCCCTCGACAACAACCCAGGAAATAGCTTCTAATGTCCTATTTTAAAAATGAGGAAACTGGAGTCACAGACACACAGCAGCTTCCCTGGGCTCAAGCATTCGTCCTCGGATGTCAGGCCACGTGATTTCAGGTTTGACTTCCCCGAGTGAAACTTAGGCTCTCTCTAGGCTTCTCTCTGAGACTCCTGTTTGGTGTTTCGCACTCGGACTCCATCACCAACTAGCAGTTGAAGGGAGGAAGAGAGAGAAACACGGAATTCGTGAGTTCCTCTCTGTCAGCTGATTTTAGGGGCCTGATAAGAAGAAACATTGATAATTGTGTGCCTCGCTTTACTTTGACTTCCTAAAACTCTACTGTGAGTAAGCTGAGGACTAGAATAACTACATTAACCTTAATAGGGGGGAGGGCTTATGTTCCTCAAATGCATATGTGCATGATAATTCCAGGGGTAAACTAAAGGAGTGATGCTGGGGGAGGTCCTGATTACAGCGCTTCTTAGCAGAGAGAAGGGAGACTGGAGCCAAAGCCCAGCTCCTTTCCTCACGAGGAACAGAGACCCCGGCAGGGTGTGTCATGTCTGCACCACAATTTTCTCTTCATAAAATAGAGTTCTCTCTACTTTTGAGGGCTGTAGAGAGTTAAATGAGATAATGTACAGAAAAATTCATAGGGATCATAGGGATCCCTATGATCATAGGGATCAGCAAATGCAACTTCCCTCCTGCTCCCAGGTCCTGGGAGATGAGTGAGTTGAACACACCAGGGAGCACAGGTGTCTTCTTTCTTCTGTCTGTCTGTCAGTCTGTCTGTCGATCTATCTATCTGTCTATCTATCTATCTCTTGACAGATAGAACTCCCATAGGAATAAGACTTGATATAGTAAAAAATATATATATATGTCCAGACTTTTTCTCAAATGTCATAAAAAGGCTCTTTGTATTTAGCTCGTGGAGAAAGATTAGTGATCTTCACTCATTGCTTAACCTGGATTGCAGGAAGTTTTTGGGGAAGGTTCCAGGTTCTGGCAGGTCATTAAACACAGCCTTGCATAGCCCCAAATGCAGCAGATCCCTGGTTCTGCCCCAGAACCCTGCACCCCACGTGCCTCTCTCCCCAGGCCAGCCCCGCTGCCTCTCCCTCCCTGATCCGGGCACTATGGACTCTGTCCTGTGCCCAGGCCCCCTGCGCATGGGTTCCAGCCATTGGAATCTGGGACCCACTGCTTGTCTCTCCAGCTGTTCTCAGCGCTCGGGCGGGTCTCCCTGTCTACACTTGATGAACTGATCACGTCTCTCCACGTCCTCTTGCTTACCTGGAAACGCACACATTCCACTGATCCTTCTCTGACACTTGCTTCTGGTTTACATGTTGAAGTGTTTCATTCTTTTAAAAAGTTTCCTTCAGAGCCAGCCCTGATGGCCTAGCAGTTAAAGTTGGACACTTAGCTCAGGTGGCTTGAATGCTTTCTTGGTGCGGAACCACACCACTCGTATGTCAGTAGCCATGCTATCTCGCAGACTCACATAGAAGAACTGGAAGGACTTACAATTAGAATATAGATTTATGTGCTGGAATATAGAATATAGATTTATGGGCTTTGGGGAGAGAAAAAAAGAGAGAGAGAGGAAGATTGGCAACAGATGTTAGCTCAGGGTGAAGCTTTCCCACTAAAAATTAAAAATAAAAAATTTCCTTCAAATTCCCTCAGCCAACACTCCCTGAGCAGTTTTGCATGCTGAGAAACGAGGGCTGGTCGGGGACAAGATCCAGCCTGATCTGGTCCCTGACCTAAAGGGCTTTAAGTCTGGTCAGTAAAGCAGGTTTGTGGACAACTGACAGAGCACAAAGGGCCCAGCAGGGACTTCACTTTGGGTGGTTCCAACCAACAGTCACGAGTCTCACAGCCAAGCAAGTCAGAGCAAGGTGAGGAGGCTGCCAGGGGACACAGCTGAGGGGCTTCTGCATCTGCGCAGGGCGCTCCCTCCTCCTGGGCAGCATCCGGTCGCAGCTCCCTCCTCTCTACCCAGTGGGCTGCCTTCCTCCCCTGCACAGGAGGCCCTGCCTCATCCCTGCCACACTTGCTCTCCAGAGAACCTTGCCTGGTGCTTTCCCTCATCGCCATTGCTGTACCTTCTCCCATAGGTCCTAGAGCTTTCCCCGTGGGTTCTCTCGTGTTCGGACTGCTCCCGGACTTTCACATTATCTCCAAGAATCTCTCTCTCTCTCCTGTGTGAGACTCTACCTTTTCCCCCCAATATTAATACTTATAACAGAGTGTGGTTGACTCTTATGTTCTGATCTGAATGACTCTTGCGTTCTAGCTAGGAGGATTCCTGTGCTTTTATAAATTCATTCTATGCCCCTGTGATTATCTAGTTTTGCCATCGAGACTTCCTGAGCTGGGAATTTTGAGAGGTCATGTCATCCAGGGACTATTAACAAGGGGTGATTTTGTCCCTCTGGCTCCGGAGGACACTTGGCAATCTCTGGAGACATTTTTGGTTGTCAAAGCCAGGAGGAAGGGTGCTATATCCTTGGGGTCGAGAGCAGAGGTGCCTCTGATGTGGAGTGGGGCGATGCCTCGATGTGCATCTGAATGCTTCTTACCCACCCTCGGTCCTTCTGCATGTTACCCAGCTCATTTGTCACCCAACATGTCATCCTAACAGACACACTGATTGGATATTTAGTTGGAACTACCTTGTGGTGGAGTGTGATTGGCTCCTGCAATGTGTCAGCTCCCTAGGATAAAGGTTTTTTGAAAAGTATATTTTCGAACAGTAGAATAATTCTTCTCTATCCTTGTGTAACTCTCATTGGACTCTCCAACTGCCACCAGCACTGGGATGGAACTTGACCTTCACACTGTGTTCTTTCTACAAGGACAGAGTGAAAGGAAAATAAAAAGTGAAAGTGGGAGTAGTGTTGATGCAATGAAGATTTCTTATAAGTATAAAATAAACCATCGTTGTGGATGTGTTAATGGTGTAAAGTTTGTAAAAGAGAAAATATATATGTTAACACTATTGTTAAGTGCATTCCTTAAAACTAATTTAGTGTGCATTTCTATAATAAATAATTTTTCTTTTTTTTGAGGAAGATTAGCCGTGAGCTAACATCCACCTCCGATACTCCTCTTTTTGTGGAGGGAGATTGGCCCTGAGCTAACATCCTTGCCCATCTTCCTGTATTTTATATGTGGCATGCCTGCCACCGCATGGCTTAATGAGCGGTACAAGGTGTGCTCCCAGGATCTGAACCAGCGAACCTCAGGCCACCAAAGCATGCAAACCTAACCACTACGCCACTGGACCAGCCCCTATAATAAATACTTTTTAACTAAGAAGAAAACTAAAAAAGAAATCAAACAGGACAGCTCCCCTCAAGAAAGGATTACCCAACCCAAAATGTCAATATTCCCAAAGTTGGGAAACCCTGTTCCAGCCACTTTTAGAGTTTGCCATGAGTTGGTTGAACCCCAAAGAGAGAATGAGACTTCCCAGCAAGTTAATTCCAGCAGAGACAGAATTAACATGCTGTTGTGCTGACATCGGGACTAATTTATTCCTCTTATAACTAATATTCAGCCTGAATTTCCACGGAGAGTATTACAGTGTCACACTTCACAACTGTTGCGTGTCGACTACTTCTGTACAGAAAGTAACTTCCCCCTAAACACCCTCACTCTCTCTTGCACAGGTCATATTTTCAAATTGTTAAATGCTATCACTTTTTTTCTCCTCCTGTCTTTAATTTTGTTCATATGTAAGTTCTCGTGCCCTAGTTTTTGAAATTCTGTATTGTTACTTTTCTGTAAAGATGCATCAAACAGCAATTGCATAAATAACTCTTGAACTCACCCCTAAGCACACCAAGAAGGCACGGTGTGAGTCTAAAAGAGGTTGTTCTTGTGCTCAGGGTACATTTTTGTGGTGACCTAGATGTGAGGATGTGAGGCAGGGTGTGAAGATTCATAAAATCAGCACTCACCTTCTTAAAGTCTGTCTCCCACCTGGCTCAGCAACTCAGTGCTAACCCTTCAGTTGTTGACAAGCTGGTTTTGTAATGGAGTAACTCCTCCCTCTGACGCAGGGGGAGTCCAGGAAAGGAAAAGCCCCTCCTACAGAGTTCAGGGCCTGAAGCTCCAAGCTAGTTTAGAAGAAAACTGGCAAGTCATCCTCTTATCACAAAATAATTTGTTAAAACGTTCCGTTTCAAGGTTGGCAATTGAAGGATGAAACAAACATTTTCAGGATGTTTGGACTCTCTCTGCCTGTCAGTGGGGCATGGCTTTTTGAAGAAACTTACTGTGAGGTTCTCATGAATTGGGTGCAAGGACGGAGGCAGATGAGAAACCTCTGCCGTGAGCAGAGTAGGAGCTGACATCAGCAAGGGGCAAGGGGAGTTCTGGAATGCTTTTATATGGGGTCACGGATAAAACACAGGACAACCGATTAAATGTGAATTTCAGACAAATAGTAAATAATTTTTTAGTCCTAAATGTTGTAGGGGAAAAAATCCAATGTATCGATCCCCGGCTTCAGCAATTGCCAACAATTTTTATCCTCCACACCCTGTAGTGGGTGGTGTGGTGGGCCCCTAGAAAGATAGGTCCATGTCCCCATAAGGGGAACCTGTGAGTGTGACCTTGCTTGGAAAAAGAGTCTTCACAGATGTAATTGAGTTAAGGAAGTTGAGATGACAACATTCTGAATTCCCCTGGGGGGCCCTGAATGCAATCACCCGTATCCTTATAACAGACAAGAAGACCCAGACACAGAGGGTGAGGCGAGATGAAGATGGAGCCAGAGGTTGAAGTAATGTGTCCGAGAGCCAAGGAAGCAAAGAACGCAGACAGCCCCTAGAGCTGGGAGAGGCAGGAAGGTGCCTCCCCCAGAGCCTTTGGCGGAATGGCAGCCCACTGACGCCTTAACTTTGATTTCCCGTCTCCAAAAGTGTGAGAGAACATGTTCTGTTGCTTTAAGCCACCCAGTCTGTAGTAATTTGATACAGCGACCACGAGAAACTAATGCACACTCCCACCTACTGCCCACAACCACGGGATTACTTTGAAGCAAATCCCAGACAGCATATCATAGCATCTACCAAAAATCTAGTATGTTAATCTCTGAAGAGTGAGGACTCTTTCTCTAACATGATCCGACTAATCTTTTATCATAGTAAAACTTCCCATTCCTTCATTTCATTACGTATTCAGCATTCTAATTTCCCCCAAGGTCTTGTTAAGGCTTCCTTCCTTACAGTTGGTTTCTTTGCATCAGGATCCTGGCAAGGCCCACACATTGCATTTGGGTGATAGGAATAAACTTTTTTTTTCTTTTGAGGGAGGTTAGCTCTGAGCTAACATCTGCCGCCAATCCTCCTCCTTTTTGCTGAGGAAGACTGGCCCTGAGCTAACAACTGTGCCTGTCTTCCTCTACTTTATATGTGGGACACCTGCCACAGCATGGCCTGACAAGGTGTGGGTAGGTCCACACCTGGGATCTGAAGAAGCGAACCCCAGGCCCCAGAAGCAGAACACACGGACTTAACCATTGTACCACCAGGCCAGCCTCAGAAATAAACGTATTTTGAAGACGTGGGGGAATGGGCACAGATGTCAGGCAGGAGTGAATGTGGGGGAATTGTGAGGAACTCCCAAAGCCCAGATCACACCCTTAGGTCACCGAGGTGGGCGTGGAGCTATACGCAGTGCTGTCACCCTTGGTGAGGGAGACCCAGGGAGACTGCAGGGCCCTGCCCGACACCAGGAGCTCATAGGACGATGGAAGAGGCAGTGACCTTCACGTCTCTGAGAGGGTCACAGGGTTCGGTGGGGGCCCAGAAGAGAGTCCAGCTCCCCCTGGGAAGCTCCAAGGGCAGGACCTGAGTGTGGCCAGGGGGGAGGAGCTTGCCGGGCAGGGATAGCACACGTGCCCAGGCAGGAAGGCAGGAGGCCCCGTCTCGCCCAGGAGTGTGATGGGGCTGGAGGGCGGTGGGAGGAAAAGGTGAGGAGGCCGCCCTGCAGGCCATGGGAGTCACTGAAGGAGTTCAAGAAGGGGGTGAGACTCAGATCTGCACTTTAGGAAACACTCTGGCTGTGAGCAGAGAACAGACTAGAGGGAGGTGAAGCCTCAGGCAGGAGCCCTGGGTCTGTCTGCTCCCTGCCCCACCCCCCACTGTGGGGACCCTCACACTCAGGCCAGGAGAACTCAGTGTGCCAAAGCCCACAGTTTCGGGGAGAGTTACTCATTGGCCCTGGGGGTGGCTAAGCTGGAAATCACTTCTAACCCAGGCGCTAGGGCCCAGAACGATGACTTTAGACACATTCGTTTTTATATAATTCATGCAGACAGTCTGGGCCTTGGAAGCCCGGGTCTGAGGGACGTTCAGTGAACTGAGAGGGAGGCTCATGCCCGGGGCCCACAGAGCATTAAGCCGCAGAGCGATGATGTGCCAGGGCTCATGGACGGGACGGGACAGCAGTGTCCCCCAGAGCAGAGCTCGGGTCTGTTTTGTTCTTCATTCCTTCCCCTCAACCCAGAACATGAAAGAGTCCATAGTAGACATAACAGCTGCTCAAAAATGTAAGAAAAACATTTTTACAGTTAGAAGAATAATGGCTCTCAAAGGAAAACAAAAATCTCTTCCGCCATTACCGACAAAGGTAGCTGTTTACTGTGAACACCTGAGAGTGTCAGATACGAAGTTCTGCACTTGACTCTCGGGTGGCTCTGTGACAGAGGTTGTATGACAAAGTCTGGAAAAGATCAAGGAGACCACATGATCTACGTTGTCCTTTTTTATTTCATTTTCATTCCAAAAAAGAGACAGGATAGAAAGAGATTAAAAATCTGATTTCATATTTGATCCTAAAGAAAAAGATATAACTAAATCTGTTCATAGTAACTGTTATATATCTACCATTAAAACTTGGGAATAATGTATTGGCCCCACAATAGTCAGGATCTATATTTAGATCAAGCACTTCATTGTTGGAAAACTGCTGAAGATCACTCCTGCATGTGCCGGGGGCCAGGCCTGCTTTATTTTAACTGGAAAATCTCCTTTACTTTTGCTAAACATTTCTCATCCATGGGAGGCTTCCTCGGGCTGCCAGGCTGCAGAAACTTCTTCACGGTGGGCAGGTTGCTGATTCTGGCTTTCAGGGCCTGCAATACACAAGAGCACAGCCTCAGAGTGGAGGCAAAGACCAAGCCCGTCATTAGCACAAGCCAGGGAATCTGAGACCCTCCTAGACGAGGACCACCTGAGTCTCCTCCATCGGCACCAGCAGGAGGCCGGGAACAGACATCCCATGAGACATGACGATAAGAGCAAGAAAATCCAGCTCAAGTGCATTTTCTTCCCTGTCTTCTTCCCTACACACTAATCCTGTGGATTCATGTCTCTTGGGCAACACAAGAAACAGTAATGTGTCTGCGCAACATCAGGACACATAAAGTCTCCAGTGAGGAAAGGCAAAGATACAGGAAAAGTGGGCAGGACCTGAAGACAGGAAATATAAAAGGTAAACCATGAGGCCAGTCAAAACCAATTTGCCCACCAAGGGAGAGAGAGAAATGAGGAGGGGGGCAGACTGTGCGGAGAGAAACACAATGCGTGAACGGAGGAGCAGGAGCCGAGGGGAGGACAACTGCTCACAGACTCAGGTGTGGAAGGAGAAGGACACTCCTGGGTAAAGGGAATCACAGAGAAAAGAGGACAGAATCCGTAATAGAACAGAGGCCTGGGAGAGAGGAGCTGATCCTGGGTGCCTCTCATTGTAAAAGACAAATCATCCTCTTGGGGCAGCATCCACTCAGATTGCTTTGACATAAGGAGATTCTTCTCATGCCTCAGACCAGGGCCTAGGAGCTAATTTTGGAGACGGGAGGGCAGCAAAGGCCTGGACAAGAATGGGGACCCAAGAGGCCAAATATTAGATTCCAAGAGGAGAAGTGTGGGCCTTCCATCTTGAGGGCTGTGAAAGAGATCACCTTCAGCAGAGGGAAGTTGGCCAGAAGGTTGGGGTCAAGCTCTTCAACAAGGTAGAGAAGTTCAACCAGATGAATGTCAGCTCTGCTCAGCCTGTTGCCAACCAGGTAGTCTTGTCCGTGGCTCTTTAACACCTGGCGAATTGGAGGAATAGCATTATGAACACAGGCAGAGGCAAGCTTGGCCCCCTGCTCCTCCCAGCTCTGTCCAGCCCGCTCTCCCTCCTCTGCTGCCTCACTGGGCGGATGTGGAGCTTCAGACCTTCTCCACCGGCCCTGAATCCCTGACACAGCGGGAGGAGTGGGCTCTGCTGTTCTTCCCTCACTCCTCAGCTGAAGGCCAGGTTCCCATTTTCTTTTCCCCTTCCCACATCTCTGGGGCTCCCTACTCGCACCATCCACTGGGCCAAGGGCTTAGCACCTGCTGCAACATGTTTCTGTTGGCCCCACACCCTAAACTCTGCAGCCCTGAAACTTCAGGATATGGCTCTTCATCTGTGTCTCTCTGTCTCTCTCTCCACACTTATCTTTCTCCTCCCTCCCTTGGGCAAAGTCTCCACCTTCACGTCAGCCTTCCTCAGTCTTCAGCAGACAATTTTAGAGTCTACCTTTCTCCTCTAGGCTGCTCTCCTCATTTCCTGGTCTATCTCTCTGGCACCTGAAATTACCCCGGGTCACCTCAACTCACCATCCCCTTACAACAATGGCTCTGACTCCTACCCGACCTGTGTCTGTCAATAACATTGGTGGAATATGTTCTAATTTGCCTGCTGAAGTGAATGGGGTGTGACTGCACTGATGTCTGCACCTGCTTTCAAATGCAGCAAAAAATAGTGTACTTGATTGGAGCAGAGAAGGATGGAGACAGATATGATTAAGCAAACGTCATAATTAAAGATTAATTTTTGAATGTAGGTGATTCGTATCTGTCAATTGATAGTATAGGTCTTTCAACTTTTATGTAATTTGAATTATAATAAAACATTGCAGAAAATATGTGATCTTTATTAAAAATATTGCAAACACATGGAAATCATAGACAAAAAGAGAAAAAACATGGCTGAACCAACTGAAGACCACAACATTGTGGCAATTACCCCTTCAGACTGTGTATGCATATAGAAGTAGGGATAAAAAATGAAGAATATATTGAAGAATCAAATGCCATATTGTGATTGTGCATCTATCTTTTATGTCATCACAGGGCTCTTTGATCTCAGAGGACAGATGTCCTCAAACTGCAGTGACTGAGGAGCTTGTCACCATGTGAACCTGCTAAACTCTCAGCACCACAAGGGCCAGGAGAGTGGATTTTCTGATTACTATTAAACTCTTCCCCACGTGAACAGGAGCTGACATAGTAGCAATTGAATGCATATTTGTTGACTGAATGAAAGAATTATTTGATGCTTTATAACGATGAGTGTGTCAGTGTTAATCCTTTTATTTATATGTAAGCCTCGTATATCTCTTACAATCATTTTTTGGTTCCTGATTTTTATTTAGCATGATTTCAGACAGTTTTGATCTTGAAATGTTCCGCTTTCCCTTCAAAGAGAAACATTAATTAAGCTAGTACTATGTGTAATGATGGAAATTTATGTCCTTAGTTTACATGACTTTCCTAAACGTCTAAGCAGATGCCCCCCCAAATTATAGATAATTTTCCCTTAACATTACTTCATCTGTCATTTTCTCTCCGTCCCACCACCCCATCTCTCTTTAGACACATCTCATCCATTCCCTGAAACTCTACCACATTCTCCTGATGGGCAGCTCGTCTCAAGCTGCCCTTTATAAGTTGCCAGAATATTTTCTGATGTGTTGCATTCATCGTGTTCCTCCTGGAACATAACCCTCTGTATGATGTTCTGTGGGATCTGCTCCAGTCTCTAGTGTGGCTCCCAGAGGCTTCCACAGCCCAAGATCCAAGACCATGAAATTCCAGGGAATAGAGAATTGTAGATTGGGTCCCAGTAAATTGAAGTATTGGTGGAAAATAATAACTTGGGTAAAACTGGCACAATTATTCCTCACAGTGGATTTTTGGAAAATGCCTTGAGAGTCAGGATGCTCCATTCACTAGTATTCAAAAGGGCTCACTGGAGGTGAGGGTCAATGCCGCAGGAATGCCCAGGCACTCCTTTTCTTACTCCTCTAATCGCAGTGCCCCCAAGATTCTGAACAGTGCACTCACTTTTTCAAACGCAGGCAAATAACGATTTGCTATTTTGTCTTTCATCTGGGTCATCTTGGCAGCTTGTTCGTTGGGTGGGCTTATGGACCAAAAAAGGTACATTTCATTCAAATCTGCCACACCTTCTACGTACATGTCAATCCTGAAAGACAAAAATGACCGAAGTGTCAAATGTCTCCTGCCTTAGATTCTATAGCTGAAAAATGTAAAAGAATGGGGTGTCATAGGTGGCAAATGAATTCACCTCCATTGGTTGCATTTTTATAGGCCAGTCATGGCTATGACTTTTACGTAATTTTCACATTTCATTCTACAACAAGCTATCGTGGTAGATATATGTCCAAAATTTTTGCTATACACGTGACCAAATATAAAGTCTCAGATTATGGGTGACCTTGCCTGAGTCACAGGCATGAGAGACTTTGGTGGAATCACTGCAAGTGACCACTGAAACTCTAGCTAGAGTTTGCCAGCTCTGCTGGGTTTGTTCAGTGCACAACTCAGTGTGATTCACATAGCCAAAAACCTGCCACTTAACTCACCTCCAGAGAGAGTCCCTGTCACAACCATCTCAGTCATGTCTCTCTCCCTCTCATCCTCTTACACTACCCAGCCTCACTTATGCCCAATGTCAGCAGATCTTCCAATGACTTCCCATAGAACATGGTTCCACAGCCCTCTCCATGTACTGTTGTCCGACACTGGCCATGTTTGCATTTCTCAAGACCTCACCTAAAGTATCCCCTGAAATGGTGTAATTCCTTATACACATCCCACCAGTCCATGAGCCTGGGTTTTTTTGCTTGTGTTCCAAACAGAGCTTCCTATAAGAATTTCTAAAAATAAAAGCTTTATTGACATATAATTCCACTACCATAATGTCATCCAATTCAAGTGTACAATTTTGTGATTTTTAGTAAACTCACAGAATTCTGTACCATCGCCACACTCTAATTCAGAATATTATCATCCCTCCCAAATGAACTCATATGTGCCTTCACAGGCATTCTAATTCTTCCTTCCCTCCAGCCCCAGGCAACCACTCAACTACTTTCTGTTTCTATGGATAAGAATGTTCCTGAGGCCGGCTCCGTGGCCGAGTGGTTAAGTTTGCGCACTCCATTGCAGCGGCCCAGGGTTCGGATCCTGGGCGCAGACATGGCACCACTCGTCAGGTCACATTGAGGTGGCGTCCCACATCCCACAACTAGAAGGACCTGCAACTAAGGTATACAACTATGTACGGGGGCGTTGGGGAGACAAAGCAGAAAAAAAAGAAAAAAGATTGGCAGCAGTTGTTAGCCCAGGTGCCAATCTTAAAAAAAAAAAAAAAAAAAAGAATGTTCCAGACATTATGTAATGTGGAATCATACAATATGTGCCCTTTGTGTCTGGTTTCCTTATGTAGCCTAATGTTGTCAAGGTTCATCCATGTTGTAGCCTGCATCAGAGCTTCATTCCTTCCCATGGACAAATAATATTCCACTGCATGGCTGTACCACACTCTGTTCATCCATTCATCACTTGATGGATGGTTGTACTGTTTCGACTTTTTGAAAATATGAGCAACATTGTTATGAACAGTTGTATACAGGTTTTAGAGTGGATGTATTTTTGATTCTCTTGGGTACAAACCTAGTAATGGAATTGCTGAGTCTTATGTTAACTTTATGCTTAACTTTTGAACAACTGCCACAGTTCCTTACAGGATTTTAATTTTAATCACGTGGTCCCATCACAACAGAGAGCAGTCTCCCTCTCCCCGATATGGTTGTATTGACATAACCTGGCTGCTTCAGGTCTGTATCCAAACTCTTGATGTAACCCTAGCCGTTTGGGCTCAACCTCTGCTAATCGTTTTCAGATGGCCAGTCCACATAACTGGGTCATAAGATAGGTTCCAAGTCATCATTCTACTAATTTCTGGAACTTAGGAATTAGCTCCTTTGGGTCCTTCCCTAACCCAGCCTTATCCTCTAGACCCTCAGACACTTTGTCCCTTGTCTCTAGCTGTGGGCTGGTGTCCAGCTCCTAAAAGCCTGAACACCTGGAGTCATGACTCCACCATCCTCCCGGCTTCTTAGTTGATCAGAGTTTTCAGATCTCTCTCACTGTGCCCTCTCCATGGGCCGCATCCTCTTCTATAATCCCACTGGCTTGAGTCCACTGCAGGTTTCCTGTCCCTCATCCTCTAAGGTCTCTGCTGTACTGGACCTCATTCTATACCACCTAGGCCATGCTGCTGGTGACCATGATCCCCCTGACACGGTCCTGCTCCCTCAGGGAAGGACCTAAATTGTTCTTATCAATTGTTGATGAAAGAGCAGGAAAAATACCGTACAGGGCTCTCTCCTTGATGTCTTTCCCATAGAGGTTGTATTTGGCGGCGATGTAGTTGAGAATGGCTCTGCACTGCACCAGCTTCATCCCATCAATTTCCACCATTGGCACTTGCTGGAACATCAAACTCCCATCTTTTGAAAGAAGAAAAGGAAAAGTAGAGTGAAATGTTCTATGGATCACACTTTCAGATGAAAACCTGTTTTTTGAAATGACGGAAGATATGAAAGGAGACAAAAAATTACTAGCCAGGAACATTGGAAGGAAACAGCATTTTTACCTCTCTATAATCTTTTTTCTTATCAATCTGCCTTTTACCTTGTCACCTGTTCTTTCATTTATCTTTTATTTCCGCTCCGCTATATGGTAGGTCCCTGTATTTTTTTGTGTTTGATTTCTCTTCATGGATATTTTAGGAAGAGGTTGGGAAGAAGCTGCTACAGGGCCAACAGCCGTTTGCCATTTCAGTTGGGAAGTTGCCAAAATAAGTATATGATGCTACTGGCATTAAGGCCAGTACTAAGAGAGATTTCTACGGAGGGTGTTTTGTATGCTCTTCAAATCCCACCATCGGATAGTGTGTGCAGAGAAGCCCTGTTTTCCCAGCCACTATTGCAGGCCCTTGACTTTCTCTCCCTCCTCACAGGCTCACCTGGCCTTCCAACTAACCCAACACCATCTTGTTATCTGAGTCTGTAACACTGCTAGGACATCACCTTGTCAAACTCATCAGAAAGAAGAATTCCAGGCACCTACTGGACCTGTTTCTCCTCTTTTACTCTAATACTTGTGTTTAATGTCTTTGGTGATGGCGCTTTAGGATCCTGTGCTGGCACAGCTCAGTCATGGTACAGAAAACCAGGAGAAAGCAAAGAGAGGGATCCACATGGCATGGGGGATGGTCCTAGAGCAAATGCTCGGAGTCGTAGCTGTTCCTCGTCCTGAGGGAGTTGCAAGCACTGCTCATGGAGCGCCTGGCCCCCACCCCTCCTTCCATTTGAACCATTTCTCTCCCTCTCCTAGTCACCCAACTCCCAACGTACACACACATAGGCAATGCCTGGGGTTAAAACTTCAAATTATAACTTCTACTAGTTCCTCCCATCAGAGCAATTTAGATACTTGGTCTTACCGTTTCTTAGCTTTTCCAAGTCTTTCGAAGTTTCCAGAAATTCTTCTTCAAACTGGAAAGCAGAAACAGTAAATGAGTTCTTGTTCTTTCGTTCCATAGCATTACAGAAGTTTACACTTGAATGGCCCCTGTCTGGACATAATAAGCAAAAGGAAGATTTCTGACCTGGGAGGGCGACAGGGGAGTGTGATCAGGGTGACTGGAAATTTAGATTAGAGCCATCAAGGAAAGAGCATGTGTGGCGGCAGCTAACAGCTCATTCTTGCAGTGTCAATTCACCGCCACTCTGTTTCCACCTCTGTGGATGATCCTGGTCGTTGGGGAGGGGGATGTCACGGAGGTAGGGGACTGGGAAGTTCCTCTAGTTATGGGGTTTTCCTGTCTCAGGAAAACCAGTCTGTCCAGGAGAGATCACAACAGGACATGGTGTGTCCTCTAGCATAGGGTACACCACGGGGCATTGGCCATCTCCGATGCTGTCACCAGGAGGCTTTGCTGTCATTGACATCACTCCTTCCCACGAGGCCCCGCTTACTATAAAATGAGTCCTGGTTGCTGCACAGCTTTAACTCTATGGATTCAGAATATCCTCTCCTTGAAAATTGGGACACACTAGGTTAGAATTCCTAATTGAAGAAAGGAAAAAGAGTTCTCAACCTACTTAAAAACATTTTTTTTAATGAAAAATCTTTGATTTCAGATATGACTGGCTGGATTTGAATGTCATTTCATACATGTAGTGAACTCCAGATGTTAGGCATTTTACTGAATCTTCTCATGTCTCAGTATCCTCCTCTATATAACGAGTATAGCTATGGTACCTACATTATAGTTGTGTGAAGATTAAATCAGTAAGGTATGCAAAGGCCTTCAAACAGTACCATGTATACACTAAGTGTTCAATCAACACAAGTTGTAAGGATTTTTATAAATGGTTGTTGTTTCATCATAGTGTGCTTTTTTTTAAATTAACGCCATCTAACATTGCTGAACCTATACTCCGTCCTTGACCTACATTCAGGATGTAGACCTTGGTGTAGATTCTCTTCTCCTGAGGCAAGTCTCTCTGGTTGGACGAGCAGTCAGCAGCGAGCCCGTCAATCTGACCAGAAGCTCTGAGTGCTTGTGGGGTTACAATACAAATATGAAAATCAGTAACTATATGATCATGCAGTTTACTTAATCGGCAGAATCGATCAAACTAAAAGTCAAAACAGACCGATGTCAAGAAAACGGATCTCAGCGTTGATGCGACTTGGTTCCAATCCAAATTCATGCATTGATGGTGTAAAGCTTGGAAATCTGAGGAATTTTAACTTGTCCAGTGGAAGCATTTATTGTGGATCCACATGACTCCACAGGGTCAGACTATAGAGATAGTGAGGTGTGGGTGCAGAAATTCCTAAAGCACCCAGTTCCAGACAAACATAAGGGGTGGTGGTTGGTCGTCAACGGAGGGCAGCCAAGATGGGATGGGTTGGCCAATGAGACAACATTTGTGAGGCTGATGGAGACGGATGGGATGGTGAGGACCAGCCTTTGGGCACAGAGAACCCAGAAGCCCTGACCAAGAGCCTTTGGTAAGTCATGCCCCACCCATCTTGTCAATCAAGCTGATGGAGAAGATGAAGGCTGGGATGCTCTCAGCATCTCCCCTACTTCACCCTCCTGTGCTGAACTCATCCTGCCCAGGGCCTCTGAACACATCCCTGAACCCCACAGCTGAAGCTGGGATACAGGGAAAACGGGTTATGGATTTATAGAGAGAAAATGACCTGGAAGGGCACTATTTGGATGTTTTGTGTCCTTGTTCCTTCATGAAATTGAGAGAGGATCAGGCTAAAGTCCCATGCATCCATGCAGCAATCGAGAAAGTGTAATCCCACGGCTTCAGTAAACATGTTGTTACGAGGCTGAAGGGAGCACAGTAGAAGTTCCTATCACAGGACACCACCTCACCTGAAACAGTTGTTTTCTGCTCCTACCTGGTGGATGAGATCCTCTGAGTCTGTCCATGACTTCTCCCCAGGAAAACCCTCCCAGAGATGCTGGTGCCCCTATCTGGACCGAAAAGTGTTCTTCTCAGTGACACCTCTAGAGGCAAGCACTCAACAGAGTCCCAGGGAAACCTACCAGCTTTCCACTGGGACTATGGCATTTTGACACTGTAAATGCTTGGGTGTCCACCTAGATGCTCCTCCCTCCTTTTAATCACCTCCTTACTAGTGTGCAATCTCACTAGAATGTAAGCTGCCTGAAGATGGCACCCATGTCTGTACTGTCCATCCATGTATTCCCAGGATCTAACAGAGGACCCGGCACTTAAAGGTGCTGAACACATTCACTGATGAGTGAGTGTATGACATCTTTCACTGGCAAATTATTATAATTCACTCTTCCCTATATTACCGGTCATATCTTAAATTTAATTATATTTTATTTTAATGTGAAATATTTTTATCTTTTCATTATGGAAATTTCTAGCAAGCATAAAAATGAACAAAAAAGCACAAAGGTCCCCCTTGTGCCCTTCACCCAGCAGCAATAATTATCAACTCAAGCCAGTCTCCTGTCACCATATGCCCACTACTCTCCCTCATTTGTAGTAATTTAACAAATCAGAAATATGATACATTTCATCTTTAAATAATTCAGTCTGTACCTCTACAACATAAAAATTATTTAAAAAATAACCACAGTACATTATCACACCTAGAACATTAACAACTTTTTAATCTTATCTAGTATTCCATGATGTTCCTCTTTCTAAGTACTGAATAAATGTCCTAAATGATATTTTACAGTTTGTTTAAATCCAAATCCAAATAAAGCCCACACATGGTGGTTAGTTACTTAGCTTTATTTTAATTGTTTTTGCTCTTTGATAACAAGAAATTCTAATAATATATTAGGTCAAATCCATTCATCTCTTTTAATCACTGAATTTGTTGTGATGCACAACCTCTTGTCAGGTCATTTAGAAAGAATAGTCTCCTAGCTCATGGGAGAAAGGACTTTGATAGTCAGTTTTAGATCGAGCTTAAGATGACTGAACTCAGAACTGACCTCGACTCCAGCAGCAGCCAGGAGCCACCGGATTGGCTCCATTCGGCCTCGTCCATCAAAGTAGTAAAGCTTGGGCTTCGCTGCCATGATGCTGTCTCCTGGGTTCTCTACACCTGAATGAATGAATGAATGAAACAACACAAACAAAACTGCACTTTAAGATACATGGTTAACAGCACCAACAATGCTGAAGAAGGGTCTGCTTCCTTCCTGGCAGACTTAGAGAGTCCCTAGGATTTTCCTTGGCTCAAATTCTCACAATCAGCAGCCAGCCCCAGGAAACTGCACCAAACCACTCTGCAGTCTCCACTGGGTGAAGTCTGGTGTCTTGGCAGCCTAACAGGTGAGAGTCTGGGGTAAGGATGCATGAGTGGGTGTCCAAAGTGGGGGCAGGATCAGAGAACTAATATTTATTGAAAACCTCCTCCTAATGATCCTGACAGAGTGCTGATCCCTTTGGCTACATTATATCTTTAATCTCCTAACAGCTCCAGGAAATAATTGCTATTATGCGCATTTTTCACTTAATGAAATCGAGACTCAAAGGTTCAACACCACGCCCACAGTTATGCTCCAGGAAGTGATGGACATGGAAATCCACCCCGGACTGAAAGGAGGGTGGAGCTGGAACACCCACAGATGCAGGCCCTGGGAGCCTGTGAGGGCCTTGGAATCAGAGACCTTCCCTGACAGCGAGGAGGCTGAGGAAGCAGAGTTAACACTATGTTTGTTCCAGAGCTAGAATTAGGGCTCAGAGTCAGTTAGCTGTAGCTCCAAAAATGCTAATCCTTTCCACACACGCAGGATGCTGATTCCTTCCTTTTTTTTTGGAATTCTACATTCTTCCTCTACTTGGTGCGTTTTGTAATCAAGAAAAAAAGGGATGTTACTGCATCAACTTTACAGTACATGGAGAGGAGCCAACATTTGTTCAATGTCTGGCATACAATGGAGGCTCCAAAATTTATCTTCACTCCATCCTACAAAAATAAGCTGAGGTGGAGTCTGTTATTATTCTCACTTTACAGCTGGGGAGACAAAGATTTCTGGAGTAACTTGCCCAATTTGGTGGTGGTCCTGGGACTCAAACTCACTTCTATGTGAAACCAAAGTCTAGGACTCATCTTCTGTATTAGCGTTTTTCAAAATATGCATAACCATCCTTCAATGGATTGTGAAATGCACTTATTTTTAAAATGAAATAGAAGACAACAGAAACTATCTGATGTGCTAAATGGAGACAAGGTGAGCATCATTTCAGGAGTTTCAGCTTCAGTCATAAGTGTGTTGCATGTGTGAATGTGTGCACACTCATTTGGTCACTGTGATGGTAAGAGAGACACTGGTTGTGTCCAGTCAGCAAACTCTGAAAGCCCTTGTTCCATCCCAGGCTCTGTGGGTAGTCAACATAGAAGGGTACCAGAGACTGACACTCAGCGGCTACAACAGCAGACATGCCTGGTTCTCTCATGGGTCTGAGTGGAAGCACACAGGACCCGTTACAAGCAGGAGTCCCAAAGCCAGGACTTAGGGAGGCACACTGGCGTTTTCTCTCCAAACATCAGGCTCTGTTTAGAAAACACTAGGATTCTTCTCACAAAATTTTATTGTTGTGGAGTTTGGGACAAAAATACACTCTTTACCCAATTCATGTATCTCTGAAAAAGTGTGTGTGACTTCAATTTTAGATATCAAAATGTTTTCCATATCCACATCTTTAATGGGGGACTCAATAATTTAACCTTTACAAAGTAAAAAATCCTTTGGAAACATACTCAATCAAGTCATCTTTCTTGTAATTGGAGATATTGGAGTTTGCACTTTCTTATCAAGGATAATGGTGGTGCTATGAGGAACAGAATGAACAGGACACTAAAGCCAGCACTAAGGTGGGCAGTGTGTTTGCTGTGGCCTAAGGTTCACTGGGCCAAGTGACTCACACCTCACAGCTCTCTTTCCTTTTCACTGAGGATCAAGTTACAAAGGGAAAGGAATTCTTATCTTGGATAATATTTTATCATAACTTTCTTCCTTATAAGCAGCCTTCTTCACTGTCACTAGGAGGTTTCCAAATGCCTCGTAGACTGGACTAAAGGTTATCATAAAACCTTGCCTGGTCAGGTGACATTAGCAAGATGGCAGAGTGAGCTGTTCCCTTTATCTCTGCCTCTTCAAACTTCAATTAAATGGACATTCATTGATCAATGGAGGATAGCCACACAGCACAATGGCATACCTGAGACCCAGACAGCTATACATCTGAAGGTGGACTGACTACCCTCTGGAGGTGGTGGAGATAGGTGAGTATTCTCCAGGCCCCCACCAGCCCTGTGCATGTATGCGGCTTCTCTCCTGGCTGGAAAACCCATAGCACTGCTGCAGCCCAGAGGGTGGGAGTACACCTTGGTGCAACTGTGGCAACAGGTGACAGCAGCTCTGACCCCCACATGATCACTTTCATTTCGCATCGGAGAGGCGAAAGTGCCACCACAGTCCCAGGGAGGGGCTCAGGCTCTGATCCCATGTGGAGGGCCCACCCACCAATCATAAGTTCCAGTATGACCTAAGAAGAAGCATTGGCAGATCTGCATGCCAGAGCAAATGATTTCCCAGCCCCTGTGATGCCAATAGCATTGCTCTGGCCCTAAAGGTGGGAGCACACCACAGAGGGACTGTGGGAGCAGGTCGTGGCAGATCTCAGCACATGCATGATCACTTTCCCATTGAGTGGGAGAGACTACAGTGTTGCTGCAGTCCCAAGAAGGGGCTCAGGCTCAAACAGGCACAGCTGCCAGGGATCATGCTGTGCTCATAATACACAGCTCCTGTCCCCCCTACCCCCAGTGGTGCTGGGTGGAATCTGTGAACAGTTACTACCACTATTTGAAGGCACAAATATTCCCCATCGAATAGTGTGAAGAGGTGTATTAACACTGCAGGCAAGAAGGGAAAAGACAAACACCCAGACGTCAATCCTGACAGCACACAAATTTACAATCTGACTGACAGAGAATTCAAAATAACTATCATTAAAAAAAAAACTCAAAGAGTTACAAGAAAACTCAGAAAGTCAGTTCAATGAAATCAGAAACAAAATTATAAGCAGAGGGAAGTCTTCACAAAAATTATTGAAAATATATTTTTAAAAAAATCAGAAATGTTGGAGATGAAAAACATAATGAATGAGATCAAGAAAATGTGAGAGTCCTTAAATAACAGAGCTAGAATCATGGAGGATGGAATTAGCAATTTAGAGGACAGAAATATAGAAATGCTGCAGGTGGAGGAGGAGAGAGAACTAAGACTCCAAAGGAAAGAAGAAATTCGCCAAGCAATATCCTACTCAACTGGGAAATGCAACATAAGGAATATAGGTATCCTAGATGGAGAATGGAGCGGAGGGCTCATTCAAAAAAATAATAGCTGAGAACTTCCCAAACCTGGGGAAGGAGCTGGAATTACAAGGAAAAGAAGCTAATAGAACTCCAAATTACAACAATGTAAGAAGACATTCTCCAAGGCATGTATTAGTAAAACTGGCAAAAGTCAAAAACAAAGACAAAATATTAAGGACAGCAAGGCAGAAAAAAATAACCTACAAAGGAACCCATATCAGGATTTCAGTGGATTTCTCCACAGAAACCTTAAAGGCTAGGCGAGACTGGAATGATATATTCAAAATTCTGAAAGACAAACAGCTTCAAACAAGAATACACTATCCAGTGAAAATATCCTTCAGATATGATGGAGAAATAAAAACTTGCCCAGGTAAACAAAACCTGAGGGGGTTCAGCACAACCTTCATCCCCTAGAAATGATCAAGAAGACCATCATACCTGAAAAAAAATGGAAAGGTTGACAAAGCCTTCAGCAAGGAGATAAATGGACAGAGAAAAATCGGAAAATTGCAGCTCTCAATCAGAACAGGTTAGCAAACACTTAATTAGAACATTCAAGATAAAGACAAGGAAAACATCAAGAATACCTATAATCACTTCGTTTTAACCACAAACTCACAGCACAAAACAGAGTAAGTTGTGACAACAATAACTGAGAAGGAGGGTAGGAAAGTGATGGAAGCTGCTTAGGCTAAGGAAATAAGAGGCTATCAGAAAATGGACTATCTCATCTATGAAATCTTTTACACAAACCTCATGCTAACCACTAAAAGAAAATCAGAACAGAGACACAAATGAAAGGGGAAAGTGAGAATATCATCATAGAGAACAAACCACATTGAACTGGAAGTCCCATATACACAGAATAAGAAACAAGTGAAATTCAGTCACCAGAAAACAAGTGAAAAATGGCAGCATCAAGCCCTCATATATCAAGAATCACTCTAAATGTAAATGGAGTGAATTCTCCAATCAAATGACACACAGTAGCTGGATGGATTAAAAAAAGAGACCCAACAATATGCTGCCTGCAGGAAACATATCTCAGCTCTAAAGACAAACACCAGCTCAGAGTGAAGGGATGCAAGATGATACTCCAAGCTAAACGGAAACAAAAGAAAGCAGACGCTGCCATACTTTTATCAGAATAAGCAGACTTCAAGATAAAAAGGCAAGGAGGGACACAGAGGGATAGTATATAATGATAAAAGGGACACTCCACCAAGAGGACATAACACTTATAAATATATATGCAGCTAAAATAGGAGCAACAAAGTATATAGCGCAAATATCAACAGACCTAAAAGGAGATATTGACAGCAACAAAATAATAGTAGGGCACCTTAACACTCCACTTACATCAACAGATAGATCATCTAGGCAGAAAGTCAACAAGGAAATAGTAGGATTAAATGAAAAATTTGACCAGATACACTTAATAGATATATAGAGAATACTTCATTCAAAAACAGAAGAATACGTCTTCTTCTCAAGTGCACATAGAACATTCTCAAGGATAGACCATAAGTTGGGAAACAAGGAAACCCTCAATAAATTTAAGAAGATTGAAATCACATGAAGCATCTTTTCTGACCATAATGCTATGAAACTAGAAATCAACTATAAGAAAAAAGCTGAGAAAGTGACAAATACATTGAGATTAAACAACATGCTACTCAACAACAAATAGATCATTGAAGAAATTAAAGGAGAAA